ACACGGGCTTCTATATACAATTCCAAAACTCAAAGAGGAAGAGATGTGTGCTGTTCTCAACTAACTCTATTGTCTTTCACCTCTGTCTAGTAAGAAAGCTTTCGGTGCTCACACACCTGGAAAGGGATTCACATAGTAGGCCAACAGTATTGAATTTGAGGACCTGCTTGGATTCATTTTCATTAACTCTATTAGACTCTAGGTTTTTAAATGCATGGAGCCAGAACCTGTAGATTGGGATTTGCTTAACTGGTAGTCCCCAAACAGGACACTCTGAAATCCTCTGTGGGGTCCATGCCATGTCAGGATTGCCTAACTGCCTGTTCTCAGGACACAGGACTGTGGGGTTGAGGGAAACACCCTCAAACTTCAGAGAGGCTCTTTTTGGGGTGTGGTATAAACAAAGTCCACATGCTAGCTGGATTTGAGGAAACTGGGGAGGAGAGTGTTAACCTGTTAGTAGAGAAAATATCACCAAATCTCAAAAGTTTGCTTGCCTAGGTTGATTCTTTTGGCTAGTCATGAGCTTGGGCTAAGAAAAGGGATGGGGCAGCTCTCTTGTGCCCTGGAGCTTTCACAGGTGTGTGTGTGTGTGTGTGTGTGTGTGTGTGTGTGTGTGTGTGTGTGTGTGTTGGGGAAGGAAAGCCGGGTGTCTGGGTTTCCAGGATATCAGGCACCCTACACATACACACACACACACCAAGTTTTACACTGAATGAAGAAAGGGCTAGTAGGAGATTTTTTTCTGTTGTCTCCTTTGAGGAAAGCGGGGAGGGTCTTAGCATGGCTATGTAAATCAATACTGAGTTATTTCTTTGAATTCAAAAGCTATTTATCCAGGTCTCATTTCTTTAGAATTAATGTGATAACTGAGCCCAACTTAGCAACCAAACCCAGCCAGGCCCTGGTGAGCTTAAATGTATTTCCAAAGCCCCCTCTAAGGCTGCAAACCCCACCTTAGACATCCATACATTCCCAGGCCTATGTGTGTGCACAAACAACCTTCCAGAACTAGAACAGCACAATTCTCACACCCAGCATGCCCATTCCTCCAATGCAGGCTGAGCCACTCGGTCTTGTGTTGGCAATATGCAAGTGTTTCTAAATAACATGACACCCAGTACGAGCCTCAACACCTTAAAAGGCAAAATTCAGCTGAGGCCTCAGATGTGCCTCCTAAAACTCTGGAGAGTAGGACCCTTATCTACAACAGGCCCTAAAAGAGCCCGTAGGCCCGGACTTCTCGAGTTGCCAGGTTTACTTCTATTTGAATGATAAAGGCTTCGCTCGGAGCCAAGCAGGCCCTCCTATTTCCACCCCCAGGGTCGGCGGAGTTCCCCTGCGGGCGAAACAAAGAGGTAGGAGCCAGGACTCCGCTGGCGGCGAGCACGGCGCCGGGGCGGGAGCCCCCGAGGTGTGTGCCTTTTTTGCAAGGCTCTGAGAAACCCGGTATTTTGCCTCTCCCAAGAGGCCTGAAGATGCGAGCTAGACTAGAGCAAACTAGGAGCGATTCCAACCACCTCAAGGAAGATGAGCCAAAGGCTTTAATTGGAGATAAAGGACGGGTGGGCACCGCTTCCGCCGCAGACAGTCTCTGAGCACTGAAGTCTTTGAGCACTGGCAGTGGCTGGTGGCAGAGGCCACACGTGGCAGTCACTCGCAGCGCGCCACCTTGGAGCGCCGTGTGGGGCCACACTGGTTCTCTGCCTCTCCATTCCAGGGTCTGGCGGGAAAGTCAGGCAGTCTTGACTGCAATTTGGATTCTAGACCGCAAGTGCGGAGACCGCTATCAAACGCTGCACTCCTCCATTTCTCAGGGCCTATTCTGGTCGTCCAGCCTGTCTCAGCAGGACCTTTACCACCTCGAAGCACTAGCACACCTGCACCTTCCCAACGGCTTCTCCACTACCTAATAATAGGAGAGATGCGAGCCCAGAAACTACAACTCTGACGACAGACGCAGCCTGCCTAACTGCATCGGACATTAAACAAACTGGGATGTGTGTGTGTGGGGGGTAGAAATAGATGCCTGCCGCCGCGCCCCAGGGCCAGTCCTCCTCCAGGAAGAGGACATCCCCTGGCCTCGCCATGGTCCAACCCGCTCCGTGTGCTGTCAGAGTTGCAGGAAGTCAGCGAGAAAAGCTGTGCACCTGCGAGCATAAAGGGAGAGAAACAAGCACAGGGGCAGAAACACCTTCTCTGTGTTAACAACAAGCTGCGGGGTATAGGGCAATAAAACTGCCACGTCTATCTGCTGGCTCTGAGGACCTCACAAACGGGCTCGGCGCCCAGCCTGGGTACAGCAAGGGCGCACGGGGTGGGGAGGGGCACCTGCTCTTTCCTTGACCTTCTTTTTGCCGCCCCCCCACGCATATCTTCCCCTCACCAGCCCACCTTTCATTTTCCTTGAAGATTTCTGTTGTTGTTTTAATTCACTGCCGATTTGTAAATGCATGGATCGGGTTACTGGTTCGCATGTTAAAGTGCACCTCTTGTTAAAAGGAAGGGAACAAGGGACGTCACTTAAAAATGAATTCAGAGTTACTGAACTGGCTCCCTAGACTCAAGAAGTTAAACATGGCAGCTGGGGAAAGGAGGGGAGAACAAACGTAGCTGCCCCGGGAACTCTGCAGAGATCCTGTGGGCAGAGAGCTTCAGGTCTCTGGATAAATTAAAGAATAGAGAATAAGAAGGAAAAGGAAAAAGGCAAATTCGCCTGCCGATGCCTAGAGAGCCCGGGCTGGGAGCCCATTAGCATTAGCATAAGCCGCTACCGGGGACCCTTAAGCAACCTGTGAATGGAGTCCGAGCAGCTCAGTCCGCAGCCGCTCCATGCGGTACGTAACAGGGGCAAGTTCCACACCACCTTCCTCACTTCTCAGGTTCCTCGGGTCCGTAACTTAAGGGGTACAGGGGAAGTGGGGTGCAAAAAAGTTCCCAGTAGTTGTCCTTAAAAGGAGACAGACTCGTCCCGAAACGTTCAGACGCGACGACACAGGCTTCTTAGATCGCACACTTCTCCGTTCTGGATAAAGGTTGGAGGCTCCGGTCTCTGCGAGACCCAAAGCCAGCAACGAGCCCGCGGAGGTCTGCAGATCTCGCCCACCCAGCCTCGAGGCTTCTTGTAGCCACCCGCAGTCCCGGGGCTCGGACCCAAGAGTGGCTCGGCTGGCCCTTGGCTCCAGCTCCGGCTTTCCTACCTGCTCTCTGGGCCTGAGCTGCTCGCTGGGGCTCCGCTGTCTCTGCTCGGCTGCCCAGACCGACGTGGGTCTGGAGAATGGAAGGAGAAAGGCTAGATCCGCAGCCCTGGGAGGCTCCAAAATTAATGTCTTTCCCCAGTCCATCTTTGAAAGAGAAGTGGTTCTACCACCTGGATGTGCGGATATAAATCCCCTTGCAAATAATAAATGGATTAATAATAACAAGGTATGAAGTTCTTTTTATAGAAAAAAAGGAGAGAATTGAAACTAAATGCGGCAGTTAGACAACCATTTTGATAAGAGGATAATTGAGGCGACACTGGTGTATAATTAGAGGATAATTTATGCTATATCCACTTTTATTCCACCTCCCAAAATAAACCCAGTCCATAATCATTACAGGCAAATTGTTCTGAATTTTATAGCAGCAATTTGAACAAAGTACTGCAGTTAATCATGGGAGATTTTTGTGTATTCCTGATTAGAACTCTAATTGCCTCCTTCCAGAAAGTAAAAATAACTGTAAAACGACTCTATTTTTATCATTAACAATGTTGACAATAAAATAAAATCAATTGGAATTGTAATCGAGAGACAAATTTAGGACGAAGGCACTTTTACTTGGGTAGTTTATATTGTAATCAAGATTTGCCAAACCACTAACCGCATGTATCATTTGCATATATTTGAAAGCATTACAGTAGCTTCTGTTTTCAATAGGAAAAAATGCATTACTGTCAGTCCTCCAACTATTCGCTTTCACAACAGGCTGCTGCGTCCTGGGTTAAAAAAAAAAAAAAAACAACTCCCTACCCCACCCTATTTCTGTCCCAGTATATAGGAATTATGGCCTGGAACGGGCAGGAACCTCGCCAGAACAGGGTCTGATTTTCCTTTTTTTTTAACCACCCCCTTAATGGGGTGGAGCCCAGGTGTGGGGACTCTTCTTCCCTCTGTGGTTTCAATAAAATACATCTAGAAAAATCCACGGTGACAGGGCGCTCCCGCGGGAGTGCAGTGGGGTTGTGGTGGTGGGGGGAGTTCGAGGGAGGGGAGCCTGGCTTTAAATGCAAGGGGCACTGCTTCTGAGCACTGGCAGCCCGCAAGGGTGCGAAGAGTGGGAGACAGAGCAGCCTCCAGCCGGCCGGTGGAAGGATGTAATATTGCAAACTGGTGGCCCGAGATTTGGGGCCCGAGCTTCGAAGGAGAGCGTCGGCGTTGGGCCGGA